CTATCTATATCTATATATATCGATATATATAGATATCTATCCATCTATCTATCTCACATCTTCTTGGTCCATTCATCCATCAATAGACATATGATATATATATATGTATATTTCGTAATATACATATATATATTATATAAGATATATATGTGTATATAATATATATACACAATGAAATATTATTCAGACATAAAAAAGAAATGAAATCTTGCTATTTTTGAGAACATGGATAGACCTCAAGGGCATTAAGCTAAACGAAGTAAGTCAGAGAAAGACAAATACCATATGATCTCTCTTACATGTGGAATCTATACCAAGAAAAAATAAAACGAGCTCATAGATGCAGAGAACAGAATGGTGGCTGCCAGAGGTAGGGGGCAGAGGTTGGAACAAATGAGTGAATTATTTTTATTTTTGTTTAACTTGTTAAATTGAATTGAAAAAAAAAAAAAAGTTTGGGGCCGGCCGAGTGGTGCGATGGTTAAGAACTGGCTTGGGATGCCAGAGGGCCTCGGTTCGGATCCCACATATGAGGGCCAGTGACACTACCCTCCACAGCTAAGATGCTGAACAATAGCTCAACCTGGAGCTGGGCTGCTGTGAGTCGCTGGCGACAGCGTAGGCTGCAGCCCCTGTGGCAGTGGGTTGCCATGGGTTACCGTGTGTAGTAGCCAGCAGCCAGTGTGAGTGGCCAGCAGCTGCAGTGAGCGGCTGTCCAGAAGCTGGCGACTGATGTGCCTCGCCCGGGAAGAGTGCAATGATGGTGCCAACTTGGGCCAGTGAAGCAATGTCTTCCACAACTAGACTGAAGAACAAAACAACAGCAACTTGTCTGTTCCCCTTCCCCCCATTCCCCAGCGCTGTTCCCATCCCCCAATTCCCCAATAACAATCTTTAAAAAAAAAAAAACGTTTGGATATTGAAACATTCTAAAGAAAAAAAATGCCATCAACAAAATTAAAGGTTAATGGTAAAGTGGGCAATATATTTATTAATGATATGTATTTCCAATATACCTGATCAACTATGAGTTAATATTTCTAATATATAAAGATATATATGAATCTATTAGAGAAAGATAAAAATGCATATTTTCAAAAGAAAACACATATATATTACAAATCTGATGAGCAAAAGTTGTTTGCTTGCTACCATAAAACTTGATATAGGAGCTGATTAATAAGAGTGGTCTCTGCACAAAATCATAGGAACTGGTGTTTATATATGCATATTTAAGAAATATACACATAAAAACCCGACTCACGGTGTAATAGAGATTTAAAATTATGTCAAATGTCCAAATTAAAAACCTTAAAAACTAACAGAATCTAAGCTGCTGGGAGATCGTCAATTCTTCTAATAATGTATGTCCTCTTTACTTGTTACTATTTGCTAAGATTTGGGTTGAGCAGTATGACAGAACTGACATGAAAATAATAATTTTATCCACACCTTGATTAACATTTTATAACTTTGTGAGTCTAGTTCTGAACAGAAATAAGGATGATTTTCCACTGGGGGAATAGAATTTAAATGGCATCAAAACAAACAAAATGGAACAATTTCTCTTTGTTTCTGGCTGACTCAACAGTCACTTGTCAAATTATTTATTTCAAAAATATTATTCAGGGCCGGCTGAGTGGTGCGTTGGTTAAGAGTTGGCTTGGGACGCCAGCTCTGAGCAGCAGGGCCCCGGTTCAGATCCCACATGAGGTCCAGTGATGCTGCACCCTCTACAGCTAAGATGGTGAACAACAGCTTGACCTGGAGCTGGGCTGCTATGGGTCGCCGGTGACGGCGTAGGCTGCAGTGAAACTGCAGTGGGCTGCAATAAGCTACCGTGAGCCGCCAAGAGCTGCCGTGAGCGGTTGTCCAATGGCCGGCAACCGATCTGCCTCACCTGGGAAGAGTACAATGATGATGCCAACATGGGCCAGTGAGGCGACGTCCTCCGCAGCTGGACTGAGGAGTGAGAGGACAGCAACTTGTCTGTTCCCCTCCCCCAATTCCCCAATTTTAAAACAAATCTTAAAAAAAAATTATTCAAAGATATGTAGTATTTCTACAATGATTTGATAAAGATTCCATTTGATAAAGACTTATACAGCATCCATTTTTAAATGTACCTGATTCTGCTTTCAGCTATTTCTTTCAGAACCTCTCCTCTTTGCTTAGTCCCAAGTATGCTTTACATATTAACTATGTAAAGTCCATCTGTACATATTCACTCACATACATTTGGATGTGCTGGATTATAAATTAAAAACCAAAAAAAAAATCTATGTATGTTTACAATAAAGACTATTTACTGTAAACAAATATACAAAACAAATAAGTAAAACTTTTAAGGGTACAGCTATTTCCTGTAAGTAAATATATAAAAACAAATAAATAAAATTTTTATAGCACAAAGCATAGTTTGGGTTCTGTGCAACAAAGGTAAATTGTAAGTTATCTTTATATATATTTCCCAATAGAAAAATATCAATCAGATTTTTAATTGTCACATTGATGTTTCCAATCCAAATAGTGATTCTCTAAAGCTAATAATATCTTAGCAATATAATATCCTTCCACAGAGCAATGGAACAAAATAGCAGGATCATTCTTAGGAAACTCCCATGACCAGTTCTTCAATACTGTTTTTCTTGAAGGTCATCTCCAAGCTAAACCTACCTTTCCTGTGAGAATAAAGCCAAATCATAGTTTATGACTGTATATGTTATGTGCCATCCTTGGCCATGCTTGCTTTTTACAGCTGTCATAAAAAGTGCAATTTCATTGAGAGAAGGAAAAAAACCTAAGAAAATGTAATCTATACAACAACAAAAAAGATTAAAATATTTTTTCCAATATGCTGAATTTCTTCTCCAAAATAGTTATATAGTAAGATACTCATATTTAGTTTAGCAAAGAAAGAAAGAAAGGGAGGGAAGGAGGAACAACCCATGGAATGGGAGAAAATATTTATCAATCATATATCTAATAAGGGACTTATAATGAGGATGTATAAAGAGCTCATACAACTTACTAATAAAAAGACAACCTAATTAGAAAATGGGCAAAGGATTTTGAATTTCTCAAAAGAAGATATACAAATGGCCAGCAAGCACATGAAAAAAAAATCAACAACATTAGTTATTGGGGTAATATAAATCAAAACCATAATGGGATATTACTTCACACCCCCAAAAGGATAGCTATGATTTTTAAAAAAAAATAGAAAATAACAAGTATTGTTGAGCATGTGAAGAAAGGAACATTTACAATGCTGGTAAGACTGGAAAATGGTGGAGCTGCTTTGGAAAACAGTTTGGAAGCTCCTCAAAAAGTTGAACATAGAGTTACCATATGATCCAGCAATTCCACTTCTAGGTTATTGCCCAAGTGAAACAAAAATACATATCCACATAAACAGCTGTACTCAAACATTATTAACAGCATTATTCATAATAGCCCCCAAATAAAAACAACCTAAATGCCATCAACTGATGAAAGAAAAAAACAGAATATGGCATTACCCATATAATGAAATATTACTCGGCAATAAAAAGGCAAGAACTGCTGGTATACACTACAACATAGCTTAACCTTAAAAAAAGTATGGTAATTGCAAGAAGGCCGTCACAAAAGGCTGCATGACTCCATTTACATGAAATGTACAGAAATAGGCAAATCCATAGAGACAGAAAGTAGATTATTTGGTTGACAGGGGCTGGAAGGAGGGGAAGAGTGACTGTTAATGGGCGTGGGGTTTCTTTCTGGGGTGATGAAAATGTTTTGAAGTTAGACAGTGGTGATTGTTGCACAAGTCTGTGAATATACTAAAAACCATGGAATTTGTACATTTTAAAAGAGTGACTTTCATCGTATGTGAATTATATCTCAAGAAAGCTATTATTTGAAAATGAAATGAAAATAAACTGAAAAGCATAATTTTGAATCAAGATGTGACTATTTTCAATTGTATATTTTATTATAATACCATGACTGTGTTAGAAAAATCATAATCCAAAGGTTTCCTTTGGGGATCTTAAGGTCGACACTAACATTGGAAAAGCATTTTGTAAAGCCACTTAATTCTAGGAAGTTATGGAGTAAAGGCATAGGTACCTCAGGCTTCTTCTAGGAAGCTTTTCCTAAAATACATGACTTTCTTGAGAGGGACTAAAATGAAACCAAAATGTGCCACAAATTTCTTCTTTCTATGTCCTCTGCATGTCTCTTCATACTTGTCTATGTTTCCAACTTCTGACCTATTAGACTTGAATCATAAACCTAAGAGCATGACATCCAAACCTCCTTCATATAATAATAGCCCAGGTTAAAGAAGTACTGAATGTTAAAATTACAGAACATTAGAATGTTAGAATTACAGATAGGGGCCTCATATAATTATTTTCCTCTCCTCCTCTCGATCCATTCCAGTTAGACTCATGTAGTCCAGAAATCCAAGCTCTCTGATTCTTTTAAATTTTGAGAGATCAAATGCTTCTTTTAGAAAGATTTGTTGCTTTTCTTAAAACTTGTTTTAACTGCCGCACCAAATAAAACAACACAAATGCCAAGCTGATTCAGACAAATAAATAATGGAAAAACATTAGGTCTACTGATATGCCTAACCCAACATCATTTTGGTTTCAAACAGCAACCAAATACCTTGAAACTAATAGGGCAGCATGAAAATGTTTTCAAAAATAACTATATAAAAATTCAGCTTAAGATCAGATACAAACGTTAAATCTAGCCACGCACTATCAACAGCACAATCCTACAGCTGTCCCCTCAGCCTTGAGATACATCAACTGGATGGATGGCCTCAATTCAGAATTTCCTTTATAGTAGCACCTGGATGTAATACATTTCACTATTTCTATCTTTCTTAAAATAATAAAGGCCTGAATTATAGCAAACTGAGCCAATGGTTTTAGAAGTGTTGACGGCGCGGAATTCTCTGATGTACGTGGATGAGGGACTCACTGTCGCCTCACATGCCATACCTGGTATGCACTGTGCCATGGCCTCAGTGGTTATGGTTGAAGCAAGTGGGGGCTGCTGCTGACTGGAGCTCACTTCTGGCTCTGTGTTAACTGAGGGAGAAAGGGCTACCTCACAGGAGGAGACCTGGCTGGGCAGATGGGGCAGGAACTCTTCAGAAGCAACTTGCTCATCCTGTCCAGGCAGCTGCAGGGCAGACAAAGGGATGCTGATCTGTTTGTTAGGATGGGATGTGCTGACAGGCATCTGTATGGCCACCTGCTGGTTGGGGCCATGGGCACCAGGGGGCCCTCTGTTTGGTGAAGCCAGAGATGCCCTAGCAGTCTTCTGGACAACTGGTCTGGACATCACAGAGGGGGATGCAGACATACCATGTGGGTCTAGCTCTGTGCTGATGGCAGATGATACATGGGGAATCAGCTTAGCAGACCCTACACAGGAGGGACCAGCATGAGTCTGAGGCTTGGGTTTTGCCATCTGAGTCAAGGATAGGGCTGGTCCATCTACTCCTCCAGTCAGCTCTGCATTTGCCACAATGTAATAATCTTCAGGAATCTCTTGTTTGATCTTCTTGATGATGACATCATTGCTGCATTCATCAACCATCTGAGCCTGGGAGCTTGAATGAAGAGAAGATGGAACTATTCCAGGCCTTTTTCGAGCAATGCTTTGAGGCCTTTGGGTTTGAGGTTCAAAGTCACTATCCTCATCTGTAACAGAGGACTCACAAACCATGTCAAACAGGGTGTTTTCATCTTCATATTCTTCAACAGCTTCATCCAGTTCAGAGGGCTCACTGCAATAAGAGAAGTCACAAGAGTCTCTGGTCCGATTACAGTCTAGCTTCGCTTTCACTGGTCTCCCAGGGTACCTTTCAACTGGGCTAGTTTGTGTCTCAGAGGGCACTCCGATTATACTGGGACTATCAGAGTTAAAACTTCTGTTATCCTGGAAACAGACCCTTTCTTGAGACCCAGCTCTGCAAGTAGCTGTCAGTGGCCAGTGATAAGCATGGCCAGCACTACAGCCCCACATTGCTGTCAGGTTCCCATGGGAACCTTCCGAAAGCAAGTGTTTCAGGTTAGGAATAAGGCTGCAAATAGTCCCATGGCTGTGGGCCCAGCTGACCAATTTGGACAGATTCTCAGATGAGGTATGAAGGCAATCCTCCATGTTACAGGATCAGCAGTGTCTTTCCTAAAGGGAAATAATCAAAATAAGAAGCCATTATTACCCAAGATATTCCTATATCTCAATTCAATTTCCTTGCTATGATCATCATGTAGCATAAAAAAAATAAATGCACTTCAAAACTGTATCTAGTTAATATCACTGCATATGGGCAGGTACTGGAAGAAAATACATGTACTTGTACAGCAAAAATAGCTGATGCTTTATGGTTGTGAGATTTGAGAAATTTTTTATTAGTTTCCTTTATTGTTATAATAATGCCTGCGTAAGAAAAAAGAGGAAAGAAAGAAAAAAACAACAACCAATAAAAAAGAGGTGAGCATTTTTCATGGTACATTTTACATCCAAAGTCACAAAGAAAGAAGTTCAGGTCAGCCCCTGAATAATAAAATGTGTGTATTAACAAACAGGATGCACTTACAACTTCATCCTCCACCATCAGAAACTTCGTGACTAGAGGAGAGCCAAAAAGGCTTACATCTGTTTTAGGACAGATGTCAGGGAGGGGAAGACAATCCTTAGGTGGCTACCAGACAACAGATGATGCAACTGAGAGTCCAAGGAGACAATGAGGGGCTACATCTGGGAAGTGGGAAAGAAAAGTCTTTAGCAGAGAAGGGAGAACAGATTGGGAGGAGAGCCACCCGAGGGTTCCTGCCGGGGTTGTGGGCACAGGCAGGCAGCAGACTGAAGGGAGGATAGGTAGGCCGGGTGCCAGCACTCTAACCAAATCTTAAGGGCAGGCTGCCCAACTCCCTGCTGTCTGAAATGCCTACAAAACTGCCTCTCATGTCACTATTAGAGGTAAAAGGTGTGTCTGGTGTATTTCACCATCTGCAGTTCCTATACACCCAACGATAACCAACTACCAAATAGGAGTAAATCCTTGTTTATTGGGCAGAGGTCAAAAAGCAGCACTTGTTATGGGTCTTTGACAGGATAAGAGCGAAGACAACACGATGGGCAGGCAAAGTGAAATGGGGCATGTGTAGTCTGCACGTGAGTACAAAGGCCAAGTATGGCTCTGCCACAGGGGAGATCCTGGGGAGAACTGGGCAGGAGGAACAAGGGACCTTGATGGTTTAGCTTGTCCTGGTAATCTGCAGCTTGGGTGACTAGAGGTGCCTTTCACCTGGAAGGACATGGGCTCTGTGCTAAGGTGCCAAGATCTAACTGCAACACCAGGTGATCTGAGCCTCCATTGCCCACCTGCATACCGCTTCCACGGCATCCCATCAGCAGTTAGGTAAAAAATTCAAGTCCTTTAACATGTTGTTGAGGCCTCTGTGATGGGGTCACGGCCAGGGTCAACCTGTCAAGCCTCATTTCCTACTATCACGGACTTTTCCCACATTTCTCATGATCTTCTTTAAATACAGTTTCTCACCCCCACTGGGCCTCTGAAAACACGTTCTTTGGCTTGATATGCAGCACTGCTCTTTCTTCATCTGAAAAACCCCTTCAAGACCGAACTTGGGACCATCTCTTATTGAAATCTTTCCAGACCCTCTTTCAGCCTCAGAGATTTATTTAGACTCTCTTCACCTGCACCTCCATGGTCTCAAGAAACTTTGCTTTGGCTATACTGTTATCCTTAACATTCTTGTCTATCTCCCAGACTTGACTGAGGATTCCCTCAGGACAAAAACTATGATATAATTATTTATTCATCAATGAGGACCTACTTGTGGACACAGAAATTAGTAAGACGTGGTACTGCTCTTCAGATCTTATAATCTATTGTTGCTGCTGAATAAATGAATGAAGAAGGAATGAATGAACATATAAATACTGGCGGCACCATCAACACAAGTTAAACATATAAGACCCTCAAATAAGAAACATGAAATTTCCTCTAATCCTTTTCATTGTCATCATTCCAGGGATTAGAGGATTTTCTCCTTAACGGTGTAACCAAAACACAGCTGTCTTGTCTGTGTAGGAGAGGAACACACGAGCAACCAGATTTTATGAAGCAGCACAGTAAATGGAAAGAACAGTGAGGGTATGAAATCCAGGAGCTTCAAATTCCAGTCCTGAAACTGATGTCTGTGGCCTTAGACAAGTCACTAATTATTTCTAAGCCTAAAATGACAGGACTGTATGGTCCTTATACTCTAACAATTTATGGACTTCATTTATATTCCTTTCATACAACAAAATGCAGAGAAAAGAGAAGGCCTGGTTTTGTATGTTTTTTGATATTTCCCAGCTTCCCTTGAAATAGGGGTGGCCAGGCAACACAGTTCTGACCAGTGGTTTGTAACACTGGCTTGTCTGGTTTTTGCCTTTTGGCCCCCTGTCCTTCCCTTTCTTCCTGCCTGGGACAAGAACATGGTGGCTGGAGCAGAGGCCCACCTGGGAGCATGGAGTAAGAGCCTGAGGATGAGAGAGACTAGCCCAAAGGAGCCTGGGTCCCTGGACACATCCTGGAGCCACTGCATCAGCTCTGAACTGCCTAGGATTCCCTGTCACATAGGGAAAGGTGAACCCCGATCTTGCTTAAAGCACTGTTGTTGGAGTATTTTATTACATACAGCTGAATTCAATTACTAATTGATACACAAAAAAATAATACAGACATTTCTGGTTTCTGAAACCTTAGAGCAGATTCCTCCATTTTTCTCTGTACCATATCCCAGCACAACTGTTTCTCAGATTGGATGCCACCAATTAACTCTTGGGAGGTCTGTAATTCTATGTCAAAATGTTTAGAACTGTCTTTATTTTGATCATAATAAAAAATACAATTAATATAAGCATATTACGAATCGGCTAAACAATCACCTTCCATCCAAGTATTGCTGTGTGATTTCAGCCCCCTTTTGCCTCTGTATCTCTACTCACGTTGGTGCCCATAATCACCCAAAGTGATATCACTCAGCTTCCAATTTGTTGGGAAAACTGTTCGTGTTGTGTTTTTTTTAGCAGATATCAACACCTCTTTTGCATTAATAATTTTCAAATGAAAGGCATTTGACATCATGAAAATGGCATATGTAATGGTGAAGCAACATAACACTTTAAGTGTCACAGGCTAATGAGAAAGTACAAAGGAGTTGAAATGAATATGTTTATAGAAAGAAATCCATATACATTAAGGCACACTATTTTAATGAAGATGTTGTAACTGTTCAAACATGTAAAACTGTGGCAGAATCAAAACACAAAATTGTATGAGCATGTGGAACCCAAAAGAACGTAAGTGTCCCAGTAAAAGCTACTACACAGTTAGTAAAATAGTACCATTGCTGAAGGTCCCACAGTCAGAAAAAAATTATAATTAAAATAAATGAGACAAAGTAGATAAAATTTAAAATTTTGTTACAGGCTTATCCACTTCAATAATAACCACCAACCTTTAAGAATCAACAGGTATAATTGTAAGTCGCTTTCATTACATTCTGAAATTGACTGGCAATGTCATGAAGAGGTTCTTAAAGTTTTCTCGAGCACCATAAAATGAAAATATTTTTCCAGTATTACTATTAATATAGTTCAACTAGGTAACTGATGTTAACTGGTAGTTATGAGAGCAGAATTAGCTGATATTTAGGGTAATTAAATGGACTGAGTCCAAACTGACAAAGAATAGCTATCAATGTACTACAGTATATTCTAAGTTTAATACATAATAGAATCAATGACAAGACAAGGTATTTTCAAAATGCTGAGAATAAGTAGTTTCTAGGAGCTACTCATTTCCATTGGCAGTCGGATGATAAGCTCTATGCTGAAAAAGAAAGTTTTTTCTATATTTCAAGAACTGAAAAGTAACTTCAAATAGTATTTTCACATATCTGTATGGACAATGACTAGATTTAGATACTCAGTTTTACAGAGTTATCAAGTGACACTTCATCAGGAGTCGTACCTATTACAGTTTATTAAGTATGAGAGCTGATTGTCCTAATTTAGCAAACAAAGCTATAAAATTATTATCACCACGCTGCATGTTAACTTAGGCAAGGAGACATTTTCTGGATTAGTATTTGTATTATTAAAGTCAAAATTGTAAACATTAAATATAGAATCAGACATTCTTCCATTAAACCCAACATTGATCATTAGATTTCAGTAAAACAACAATATAAAACTAATTATTATTACAGCTAATATTTATTAAACAATTACTGTTTGTCAAGCACTGTTATAGGATGTGACAAACCAATAATCCTAATTATATCATAATTCTAGTAAGTTAGGAAAACTGTTATCCTCATATTATAAATAAGTAAACTAAGTCACGTGGATGGAGTAAATGGTGGAGCAAAAATATGAACTTCAATTGTACTCCAGAAGCCATGCTCTTAATCACCACACTATACTGCCTCCATAACAGTTAAAAGATGCTGTCTCAAGTCTGGCTCCCTGTGAATTATGTCGATTTGATAGTTTTACTTAAGTTGCATTTGTATGTCTGTTTTGGCTTACAGCTATATCAGAACTAGAAGCATAAGTTCTGTTAATACATATTTAAATAACATTATGATAAAAATGACTTAAGCCAGCACTGGGCATGAAGAAGGTTCATGAAAATACTTTTCTTTCAAAAGTATGAGAAACACTTCTGGACACACAAAAAAGTTATAAAAAAGACTTATTTTTCCAAAACCTGACAAAGCGAGTTACCAGCCAAATACCAGCAGTCTATGTTGGCTTTCCCCCGACTTCAGTTACAACAATCTGCCCCACAATCCTTGTAGTCTCTCACTTTAAAAGGTTCTGAATCTTTGTTGTTACTGTTGTTTTAATACACTAAATTTCAATTGCTGATGGATGACAAAATTGACATACATACAAAGAAACAGAAAATCTGAGTAGCCATATATCTATAACATTTTTTTTTTAATTGGGTAGCTGTGTTTTTTCCAGGACCCATCAGCTCCAAGTCAAGTCACTGTCCTTCAATCTAGTTGTGGGGCTCGCAGCTCAGCTGCAAGTCCAGTCCCCATTTCAATCTAGTGTGTGTGTGGGGGGGAGAGGGGGCCCGCAGCCCACTATCC